AAAAAAAAAAAAAAAAAAAAAAAGAAACAAAAAGGGGATGGTTGTACAGCGCCAAAAGAAAAAGAAATAATATATATATATATATGTACATAATATATATATATATAGCAAAAAAAAAAAAATGCATTGGGAGAAATAAAGTCCATTTTATTTATTTTTCTGGAAATTTTACATAAATTTGCATTATACATACCTTAAAAAAAAATAAAAAAATAAAAAAAATAAAAAGATCCAAATCAAATCAAATTTACAAGAGGGGATATTCAAGGACGATCAGGTGGCGCCTCACAACTCGGCGGAGCTCCAGAAAGAGGAGGTGCCGGAGGTTGACTGTTTGAAGCCTCAGCAGTCGGTACAGCCCCAGAAGACGAAGGTAAATGCTGTTGGAACAAACCCACAAACCGCTGATGATCAAGTAAAATCTGACCATCAGATTCCTGCATCTGGTCAATCTTCCTCTTCATGTTTGTCGCATAGCTATGTGCGAGCTTATGCAACTGTTTATTCTCCTGCTTGAGCCCTCTAATCTCCTGTTTGAGACTCATCACTTCCGCCGCCAATGATTCAACTTGACGGGTTCGAGCAAATAGGCGTTGGGCCATATTAGACACGGAACCTGCACACTGCACACTGAGAGCCAGAGAATCCTTAACAGCCAACTCATCAGACCGTTTGGAAAGTAGTCTGTTATCTCTGGGAGTGACAAGGTTTCGGGCCACCACCGCAGCGGTCATATCATTCTTCACCACCGAATCCCCAACCGTAAGAGGACCAGTAGGGGATATGAAGGATAGGCGCCATATGTTGTCTAGAGAAGGCGGGACTGCCTCTTCACCAAGATTCAAGTCAAAACGACGATCGGAGGGTCCTGACATTTTCAAAGTGTTGAAGAAAGAAGAGGTCGGACGAATCAAGATCTTAGAAGTGCAAGAAGGGAGTTTTCACAAGTAAAATTCAAGTGTGCTTTGAAACGAACAGCGTGCCTCTATAAAAAATCAGCACTCGACGGGATTTCAGAGATCGAATAGGCGAGCTCAGAATTCGAAGAGGCCATTCAAAAATCGAAGAGGCAAGCTCAGAAATCGGAGAAGCATCTTGCTTTTCCAGACGCATCGGCACCCGTCACACGCAAACTCAGCTTTGCGAAAATCACGGGCAATTTGTCGAAGCACCGATCCCAGTTATCGAAGAAGCGCCAGTCTTTTTCAGCCGCGTCAACACCTGTCACATGCACACTCAGCTTGGCGGAAATTACGGACAATTTGTCGAAGATTTCTGATAAAGAAGAAAGCACGTGAAGCCATACTGATCAATCACGCATTGGTTGCTGACACGAGTGAAAGAACAGTACCTCTACAGGTATTAAGGAACTCCCTACAATTGTCCACCTTCACCTTCCATAGCAAGGCAGACATACAGAGCCTTTCTTTATCTCCAAAAAAAAAAAAATGTGTTTTCCCAACGAAGCCTCTCGAGTCACTTAGTGTTCCTTATTCCTTGGGGTACCTCTGTAAGCCAATAACTTCAAATCAAAAGTATCTCATATCATCAAAGTTGCAATCACTCTGTGTGGAGGACTCGTTTTGACCCTCAAATTCTTGGGTCGACTTACTAGACGTTGTGAGCTGCACGTGTCGATTCACCACCCTTGAATCGAATCCTTAAAGATCAAGTCACCGACTGGAAGAAAAACCCATCAATCTTGAAGATCATACCGTTGACCAAACTGCTCAGGTGTGAATTAGAAAGATTGAACAAAAAAAACAGGTTGTCACCTTTACCTCGTGCCTGCTTGCCATGTGTTCGAGTCAACCTTCAAGAATCAAGCCTCAACAGCCCTTGAAGAAGTTTCCAGCCAAATTCAAGATCAAGCCTCGACGGCCCTTGAGGAAATCACAAGTCCGATTCAAGATTAAGTGTCTACCACCCTTGAATCAAACCTAGTTCAAGAATAAGCTGTGGAAAATCAACAATTGGAGGAATCTAGAAAAACCTCCAACCCAGTTCAAGATCAAAGCTGTGGAAAGTCAACAAGCGCAACAAAATACGTGCCGATTCGTCCACTACCAAAGCCAAGGATCATCTACCACATAAAGCTCCTTGTGGTCCAATTTCAACCTTCAAGATCAAGCCTCGACGGCCCTTGAAGAAATTTCAAACAAAAGTTCAAGAACAAGCCTCAACGGCCCTTGAAGAAATCTCAAGCCCAATTCAAGGTCAAGCCTCAACGGCCCTTGAAGAAATCTCCAGCCCAATTCAAGATCAAGCCTCGACGGCCCTTGGATCGACATCTACATTAAGGGACTTCAAAATGCATCTCCTACACGTGACAAGCACATGTATACGACGCGCCTTGAAGTGGGGGCATTTGTAGACATCGAAATTTCGGTAAATAAATGTTGACCGATAAATCAAAGTGTCAACGCTCATGTATTACATAAATTTTACACGTAGCGTGTGACTCAACGAAAATTGAAATGAGTTGGAAAAGTCATCAAATAGGACACGTGTCAACACCTGGCAGAAACGACTTATTTCATCTGGGATATTATATTCAAAATTAGGCCTTGGAAAATTCTATAAATACAAGCCCATTTCATTCATTTTGAGATGACCAATTCATATTACACCTTGAAGCTCTGAAGCTCTAAAAACTCCGAAGCTCTCAAGCATCCAAGTTCCCGAAGAATCAAGAAAGCTTTCTTCGTTCGTCGTTCATCGTTCTTCAAGATCAAGCCCCGACGGCCCTTGAAGAAAGTGTTCTTCGTTCTTCGTTCATCGTTCTTCCAAGATCAAGCCCCGACAGCCCTTGGATCAACCATCCACCAATTCAAGATCAAGCCCCGACGGCCCTTGAAGAAAACACCATCGTTCATCATCCGTTCATCCAAGATCAAGCCCCAACGGCCCTTTGGATCAACAACGTCGACAAATCCACACATCCAACCGTTCTTCAAGATCAAGCCCAAAAGCCCTTGAAGATCCGTTCATCACTGTTCTTCAAGATCAAGCCCAAAATCCCTTAGAGATCCGTTCGTCACTGTTCTTCAAAGATCAAGCCCAAAAGCCCATTTGAAGATCCGCTCAAATCCACCTTCAAGATCAAGTCCGCGGCCCTTGAAGAAAGTTCATCCTTAGATCAAGCCCAACGGCCCTTTGGATCAATCGCACATCCACAAATACACACCTTACAGAGATCGAATCAGAGGATCAAGATAGAGAGAGATTGTAACCCAAAATCATCAAACACAAATATTTGTTTGTGCACGTTGTTCTTGTCTCTTTCGTTTCAGGAATTTTCCGTGTTCACAATTTAGTTTACAAATATTTAGTCTCTCTAACATTATCATTTGATTAATAGTCAATTTAGTCATCTTTGATATGACGATGGTTAGTAAAAGACGAACATACTATAAAATACTACCGAACGAGTATAATACGTGAAAAATTATTCGATCATTTTGCTAGAATACTATTTTGAAAAATTCGGCCATTTTATAAATTTTTTTAAAATAATTATTTTAAGTATTTATTTATTTCTATTTCTTTAATAATGACGTATAAAAAAGTCAATTTTGTATGTAGAGAAAATGTTTTTTCTACGTCCATTAAACGTGAAAAGTATATAGGTACGTGTACAATATATATGTTGGAGCTATAAAAAAAAGGAAAATTAATTAAAATAGTTTTAAAACTTTTGAGTTTTAATGATATAATGATAAAATAAAGGGTAAAGTAAATAGTATCAAGATTGACTTTTTAGTGTAAAAATGTGATTTTTTATTAAAGTGAACATTACCGGAAGTTTTTCGTTAAAATTTCCAATAAAAAATGATGTTTTTGCGAATATAATACGCCTACCATACGCGGGTGCGTCATCTACCATTTGCCATTACCATACCCTTCCTCGTGGTTTAATGGACTGGCATCTACATATAACTATTTTGTTTAAGTTTTCTTCCTTAATATATGATGTGATTGACACGATTAGAATTTGTAATTTAGCACACGTAAAGGTTTTAAAAGACTCTAGTCGCTAATCAGACCGCGGGCTGGGGTCTATCATCTAGACAGCTAGGCAAGGCCTAGGCGGATGCTTAGGCTGATTTAAGTAAATCGATTATGTTTCGTGTAAGTAAGTGTATGTTTATACTTAATATATATATATATATATATATATATATATAATTTCATCATAAATCACAAAATAGAATGACATATATATTATGAAGTATTGGAATATAATGAAAACATTAATTTAGGTACCATTTGGTACGCATATGGGACGGGACAGAATGGGACGGAACGGGACATGACGGAATGGAACGGAACGGAGGTTCCGTGTTATGTTTGGTAAACGCAGTACGGAACAGGACAGTTGTTCTGTTCTGCGTTTGGTACGTGTTGGACAAAACGGAACCAAAATTTTGAATTACTAACTTATCCATGTTATGTCTATTGTTTGGTACAATTCAAAACATCTGCCTCGTACAGAAAACCCAATTTCCCAACTTGGCTTATTCACCGTAATTCTTCAAATAAGGTTAAAAACCTTAAGTTCTTCAAATAGATGAATGGACAAGAGAAATTAAAATGCAAGGTAGCTTATGAGGTGTCCATTATTTGGAAAATGAAAAAGGAATGCAAAATGAAATGCAAAGTGGACAAGAGAAATTAAAGTATTCACAAAGTCTCTTACAATTTATGAAAAAAAATAAAATGCAAAATGAAAGTTATTTATTTTCTGTCTAAGTGAGTCGCAACCTAGATAAGCCTAGACGGGCTAGGCGTGTGCCTAGGCAGTCTAGACGGACGCCTTAGTAGGTTTAGGCGTTATTTTTTAATTTTCAAACGCTTAGGTATTAATCGGGGCTGTGGCCAACTGCCTAGTGCCTAGGCGGGAATTTTTAGAACAATAAATAGCACAGTTTTTCTACATTTATATAGAGGTCTTCTTGTGGCAACTTTTCTTTACTCTATAAGTACTAAATTACTTGCAGTGCGAAGACATGGAAGCCGTAGAGCGGAAGTTGAAGGAGCTTGATATAAAGTACATGAAAAAAGCAGTAGAGGATGATGAAAACGGAACAAAAATCGACCAACTCTTCTTCAACGTTCCAGATGGATTCATGGTTGAGATGTGCAACTGTGAGAATCTCAAGCTTGTTCCTGCAGGTTCGTTGGGCAAAATAAAGCTCCCAGTTGACAGGCATACTCCGCCTGTTGAACTCAACCAAAATGGCAACGGAAATGACGACGATGCTAAAGACTTAACATCATATGCATGCTAATGCAACGGTAGCAATTATACATGTTTTGTGCGTATATTTTTCTTCATTCTTTTCGACGATTTTCTGTTTTGTTTTAGGAGAGCACAGTAGATTTCAAATGTTTTATACAAATGTCCATACATGCAAGGGCATAAACTTTGAAGGATGATTTGGAACACGATTGATCAAATACACAACAGCTAAAACATCATGACCCCACAAATGATTAGGAACATATTTATCCAACATCAAAGAGCGAGCAACCTCCATTATTTAACGATTCTTCCGTTCGAACACACTATTTTGTTGGGGTGTAAACGGAGTAGTCGTTTGGTGAATAATACCATGATCACGAAAGAAACGTGTCAAAGTATGATTCACATACTCTCCTTCGTTATCAGACCTGAATACCTTAAATTTGGTCTGAAACTGAGTAGACACCATTGTACAAAATTCTTGAAGAAGTAACGAAATATCACTCTTATTCTTCATCAATAACACCCAAGTTAACTTAGTACAATCATCAATAAAAGTAACAAACAAACAGAATCCATTAGAAGTAACTTTCGCCGGATCCCACACATCAAAATGTATCAAATCAAATGGCAAAGTAGCTTTAGAATCACTTACGGGAAAGGAAGCACGATGATTCTTAGCCATGACACATGTTTCACACTTGAACTCTGAATCACTACAAGTGCAAAACAAAGCAGGAAATAGATGCTTCATATAACTGAATGATAGATATTCCAATCGTTGATGCCACAACCAAATTTGATGTCTGTCATCCACTTTAGCACTTAAAGCTTAATGATTATTTGAATCGGAAACAACGGTATTCTCCATAATCAAGATGTACAAACTCCCTATTCTTTTACTATGACCAATTATCTTATGAGTTTGAATGTCTTGAAAATAACAACACGTAGGGTAGAAGTGAGTAGAACAATATAAGGTATCAAGAAGTTTTCCTACCGACAAAAGATTGCACTTAACATCAGGAACAAGTAAAACACGGATCAATGATAATGTTGGAGTCAAAGAGATAGTGTTTTCACCATTCACAGGGGAATGTGCTCCATTTGCACTAGTAATATATGGATCACGAACATAGTCATATAACTCATCAAACACTCTAGGGTCACTAATCACTTGATCAGTAGCCCCAGTATCAATTATCCATTTATTTGTTCCACCAAGATGTATAACAACACTATGATTATATTGAGCCATTGAACAAAATCACGAATAATAAAGGCACAAAAGATACGCAGCGGAATGAAAACAATTTACTAGAACACTGTAGCAAAGCAATGTTCACGGCAATGTAGCAGAGCATTATTCACGGCTGTAGCAATCACTGTTTACGGCACTGTGGAGAACCATTGTTCACAAAGCAAACCACACCATTGTTCACGCACTGTAGTAAAACGTTGTACTGTAGCGCGACACTATTCACTTTTTTTTTTCTCTCATGAAGGAAATCACGAAAAATGTGGGCACAAAATTAAAGCACACGGTCACCAAGAGCGAACTGTACTGATACCATATTAAACTAAACATGGTAAATACCAATATTAAACTAAACATGGTAAATACCAAAAATATATATGACAATATTTGAGAATTTCTTATATATTCATTAATTTCCAAAGTGGAGTATATATAAGAGTTGCAATTGGTATTACATATGTACTTCACCAATGTGGGACAATAAACTACTATTTACATTTTAACTAATATATAACTCGCAACATTATTTACAGTTGCAAAGACACAATTAAGCAAAATAGTAACTTGTATACGTATACTTTATATTTAGGCTCAGTTGCATAAACCCGCCATTTCGTAAGGCAAATTGTGCCCCGAAATATCCTCAAACACATCGCAACAACTTCATAATCACCCCAAGATTGCAATGACCATCATCAAAATCTTCCCCAGGATTGTATTCTTCATCTAGGCAAGAGCTTAACTCTATACCTTCCTCACTCGTACACCAGTACTATAGTCGATAGTGAAACAAGAAGTTTGTCGACTACAACATGCATCCGTCAAATTTCAACTTTAAAATTAGAGTAAATTGTAGCAATGGTTCTTCCAACATAACTCGTTTTGACAAAATTTTGACGAAGTTGACGTAAAGGACCATAGCTACACGTTTTAATAAGTTGAGGGACATCAATAGTAACAATGGTCTTTCCAACATAATTCATTTTGACAAAATTTTGACGAAGTTGATGAAAGGACCATAACTATACATTTTGATGAGTTGAGGGACCAATGGTAATAGATTTTTAGTTAAGGAACCATTGCTCCAATTTAATTAAGGGAACTTTAACGAAAAGCTCCCAATACTGTTCACTTTAACGAAAAACCACATTTTTACACTAAAAAGTCAATCCTGGTACTATTCACTTTACCTTTTATTTTGTCCTTATCGTTAAAACTCAAAATTTTCGGGCCATTTTCATTAGTTTTCCTTTTAATTAAAGTTAAATGACCATTTCTACAATTTACTCTTAAAGTTACTCTCTCTTTGTTAAAAACCAAGCAAAACATCATGTGAATAAAAATAAACGAATTTATATACACGTCTTTAACATCAACTTAACCATGATGTCGAACAAGACTAACATATACACTACAAGTAAATCGATCTGAGAAACACTATTTATAAAAAGACTATACAAACTTGAAAGCTTAATGAAATCATAACATACATATGGAAAATCACACATTTGACATAAAAAAGACATCGATGTAAACTGATTCAAGGATTTATGGGTGGTTTGGGAGTGAGGTGCTTAAAAAAAACAACACCCATGAAAAAAAGCTGTGAGGGTTTTAGGTGTTTGGTAAACTAAAAAAAAAGGGCTTATTTTGGAAGCTGCTATGAGAATAAGCTAAAATCAAAGGAAAAAGCTGAAGCTGCTATTTGTAGCTTTGGAAAACTGGCTTTTTTTCAAAGCACACGAAGCTACAGTGCTCCTTTAATGAAAAGACTCACTATCAGACTGCTTTTTTTTCTTTCCAAAAGCACTTTTACAAAAAATTTTACCAAACACTTTGCTGATTTATTTCATAGCCGCTTATTCTCACGGCACAACCGCTTATTCTCACAGCAGTTTTTTTTCAAAGCACAGCAATACCAAACCAGCCCTTAGTCTATGAAAAGCTACAACGAATCCGGTTCGAACTTGAATTGAGTAACTCAAACCAAAATGAAAGCTCAAATCCGAGAGGTGTATATGTTGATGGATGTGTTCGAAGGAATGTATTATGACCTCAAACCTTCCACTTTCTGGATGAACGTAAGTAACCTCAAGTTTTCCTTTCCCGCTAAAATATCTTAACCTATTAAATTGCTTACAAATGAGGGCAAGCTTTGACACACCGAAATTGCTCCTTTGTGATTGAAAGGTCACAGACTCAAGTCATGAAAACAACCTATTTAAAACAATGATAAGACTGCGTACAATAGACATTCCTCCTCTGATTCTCACAAACTAAAAAGCCTTATTGACTTGGTGTCGAACAAAATTACAAATGACTTGAAATTGTTGAGGTCATTCCACTCAAAGAAAAAGCAAAAAATGATTTTGGGCCGGCTATTATTCATATCCCGCAAAAATAAAGGCTCAAAGTTTTGTCCAAACAGGCTGTACCTATGGCCCAAAATCACCCTTGGTCCCCAAAAATATGCAAATCATAGGACAATGCCTAGTATTACACTTGTCATCATCTAACTGGAGGTGCGTGAGTCATATCATCGTCTACATCCACACACTCACCTCACCTCCCTAAACCAGGCTCTTCCCGCTTGTACACAAACCCACCCTCTTATGAGCTTTCACCGTACAACCATCAACAGCACAAACACCGAAGGCACACAGTGCAACCCACCGCAGAGGAATAGTAACCCAAACCCGCTAACACACCATCTCGTAACGCCAACGATTGCCAAATATTAAAAACAGAGGGAGAGAGAGAGTGAGAGAGAGAGGAGGGGAAGAGAGAGAGAGAGGCCTCAACTCAGAAGCCAAAGTGCTTATCTTTCACCTTCTCGGTATAAAATTTTCACACACAGAGATCACACTCAAAACCAAACCCTAAAATTAAAAAAATATTCAGACTGGATTTACAAAATCATCCCCAATTCTTCAATTTCCAATAAAATCTACCATTTCTTCTCTCAGATCTGTTGTCTCTTTCGCCTTCAAATCCCCCAATTCTTCCGTTTTGCAATAAAGATTGAGTTGGGGTTCTTGGGTTTCGCTCAATTTTCGAGCCATGGCGTGCGTAAAGGGGGTGAATCGATCGGCCTGCGTGGCGCTGGCTCCGGACGCGCCCTACATGGCAGCAGGGACGATGGCCGGAGCAGTGGATCTGTCCTTCAGCTCCTCCGCCAACATTGAGATCTTCAAGCTTGATTTACAGTCAGACGACCGTGATCTCCCGGTAGTGGGCGAGTCGACGAGCTCTGAGAGATTCAACAGGTTGTCATGGGCCAAGCCCACTGGATCGGGGTCGCAAGAATTCGGGCTTGGGCTCATCGCTGGTGGACTCGTTGATGGCACTATTGATATCTGGAACCCACAGACTCTGATCCGGTAATTGGATTTGAATTTGGCATTTGCTTTTGGTTACGATTGGGATTGAATTGAATGGATATGAATTGAGTTTTGCTTGTAAATTTCGGATTTTCTGTGGATTTGGATTGTGGGTTTTCTTTTGGGTGCTGGAACAATGTGGGAAACTGGAGAAGTTAACAAATTCTGTAGTTTCTTGGTGCTTGACTTTGATCTGAGTGAATGGCCTGTTTGGGGTGACGGGAAATGGGGTTAAGGGTAGCTGAAATTGTTATTTATTGTTCTATTGTGAGTGATTAGATCTCAATTTAAGCTGTGCTTTTATACCCAGTTCTTTTTTTTTTCATTATTTGGAGTGAAATGATATCTTGATATTTTCTTGGTTGCTGGAAGTCTGAATATGGAGATAATGTGAATTGGGATTTTCAT